TATAATTTAAGCTTATTTCATTATGTTTATGTTTTAAACTATATAAAATTCTATATTATTTTAAATCAATAATTCATCATTTTATACAGGATTTTTTTCTATTATGATTAAAAAGTCTGTGTCTAGGTTCAAGGGTAAACCAATTAAAACGGAATAAATTACATAAATCTATACATAAATAAATACATAAATCTAATTTAAAAAGGAGTTAAATGATGAAGGCATGGCAAAAAGTTCCCAGTTCGAATGTGATCTTCATATACCAAAAATAAGTTGAAATCTATTAGTTTTAACCTCTGGGACATTAAAGTTCCTGTAATTGAAGAAACATCCTTATATGTTAATTTAGAGAATGAGAGGAGAGGGGAAGAGAGAGCGTAAAAGGGAAAATAAAGAGCGGCAGAGGTGTAATATATTGTTTGTTTCAGGCTGCTGGGAGTCTTGATTTAGTCTGTGCTCTCTGGAGTGGCTCCTCTCCTCTGTGCGGCCCCATTCAGCTCTGCTCACCCAATCATGGCTGAACGGCTAATTGCCTGGCTGGCACACTTGTACATACACACACAGCCTCTGCTGGGATCTCTTACACAGCCAGTGACCCTGAAAACCAGCCAACCCACCCCACACGCGCCACACAAGAGAAGGGGAGAAAAGCAGGAAAAGAAAGAAACTAAGGGATGTTTTTATAGGTGCCCTCCTGAACAAAAGCTCCGGCTAGTCTTGCATGGGCCAAAGAGAGTGTCGGGTGTCAAGGTTACCTGGCGAAGCCGACCCCTCGGCTGACCCCATTGGCGTCTCGCAGTATCCGTGTGGAGATGACATGTCCGAAGGGCTTCAGCATGTTCTCCAGCTCTTGTTCATCCATTGAAACCGGGAGGTTCGAGATGTACAAGTTAGTGGGGTCCTGCTCCTGTTGCTGTGAAGAGAACACACACAGTCGAACATTAGAAATGTCAATCATCATGTAGTCACACATATTCAGACTTCAACTTATCTGCATAAACTGCAAAAAAACAACCATTTAGACGGGACGTGGCCTTCTGAGCGATATAGAAACTGACCAGGAGTGCGCAAGACTCAGGTAAAGGTGAGGATACCTTGTTTACAAAAAGTCTCAGACAAAACTTTCTAAGATTACAACCGTCCTAGGGGTGTTTTGGTCTGATCTTCCATGCTGCTTTTGCGATTGGCGACATGAGAAACCCAGGATGGAGAGGAGACTGAAAAAGTGAGTTGTTAAAGCTGGAGGGCCTTAGCTGGGTACATCTCTACCTGTCTCTCACTCATGCACTGGTGGAATCCATTGTTGTGTTGATGGCCTCTTCTAGAGACACTGTGAGGCTGGCTAATGGGGGTCTGAGAGGATAGCGCACACGATACAGACACTGTGTGCCGCTTTTTGAAGGGGTTTAGATGTGTGTGTGCAAAGACCAAAATGAGCAGCATTAAAGCACTTGCACACTAAGAGAACATACTGCATCTGTCTCTTTGAAGCCCAGGTTAAAATGCAAAGAGGAAAAGCGTACACTGTAAAGAAAAAAAAAAGTTTCATGTTTGTTTTCTACAATCACTGCAAAAAATGGCTTATCTTACTTAGTATTTTTGTCTTGTTTCTAGTCAAAATATCTAAAAATTCTTAAATCAAGATACTTTTACTAGATAAGCCAATTGACTTAAGATATCTAGTCTTGTTTCCAGGGGGAAAAAACTAAATTATGTGCATTTTGCTTAAAACAAGTAAAATGATCTGCCAGTAAGTAAAATACTCTTAAAATATAAAAAAAAGAATATTTTACTTACCCCACTGGCAGATAATTTTACTTGTTTTAAGCAAAATGCACATAATTTAGTTTTTTCCCCCTGGAAACAAGACTAAATATCTTAAGTCAATTGGCTTATCTAGTAAAAGTATCTTGATTTAAGAATTTTTAAATATTTTGACTAGAAACAAGACAAAAATACTAAGTAAGATAAGCCATTTTTTGCAGTGATGAAGAAATCTTTATTTTTATAATTCTTTATATTTTTATAAAATCTCAAATAATGTTTGATAACATTATGTGGTGGAAATTACTTTCAAAACATTTCTTTTGCAAAGAAAAACAGAAAAAAAAACCGAAAACACAACATTTTGCATAAATCTACAAAATTAAAACTTGAAATAAAACTATAAAAATGTAATGTCTTATATTTTATCACCAACTTGTAAAAAGTTTGATATACTATTTAAATATATTTTGATAGAATTTTATGTATTATGTTATTTGATATAAGAATTATTTTAGACAGTACATTATGAATTAAATGGATCAAAATGACAGTAAACACATTTATCATGTTACAAATGATATATACAGTGGGTACGGAAAGTATTCAGACCCCCTTAAATTTTTCACTCTTTGTTATATTGCAGCCATTTGCTAAAATCATTTAAGTTAATTTTTTTTCCTCATTAATGTACACACAGCACCCCATATTGACAGAAAAACACAGAATCGTTGACATTTTTGCAGATTTATTAAAAAAGAAAAACTGAAATATCACATGGTCCTAAGTATTCAGACCCTTTGCTCAGTATTTAGTAGAAGCACCCTTTTGATCTAATACAGCCATGAGTCCTTTTGGGAAAGATGCAACAAGTTTTTCACAAAAAATTTAAGGGGGTCTGAATACTTTCCATACCCACTGTATCTCAAATAAATGCTATTCTTTCATTACAGTAAACGTGGTTTTTATTACTGTTCTTTTATTACAGTACAATAAATGCAATTCTTAGCACATTTTCTACAAACATATTAAGCAGTTTTAACTGTTTTTAAGTTAACACTGATAATAATTAGTATTTTTGGGGCACCAAATCTGCACATTAGAATGATTTCTGAAGGATCTGAAGACTGGGGCAATGATGCTGAAAATTCAGCTTTTCCATCACAGGAATTAATTACATTCTGAAATATATTAAAATAGAATTCAGTTCTTTGAAATTGTAACAATATTACACTCAGTATTCAATGTTACCATTTTAGATCAAATAAATGCAGTCTTAGAGCGCATGAGAGACAAAAATAAAACAAATCTTCCTGATTCCAAAAGTTTTGTGAATATTTAAACAAAAATGACTGTAATTTTTTTAAAATCAATTTATAAATAATTTATTATTATTAGCTAATATGTATTTAATAAAACACAAGCAAACATTCTATGAACAAGATATTTTTAAAGGTGTAGTATCCACTGCATGGGCTGGGCTGTGAATTTATAACAGAAACAGAGTGAGAGAAACAGAAAGTGTTGGTGGGCTAGCTGAGAATGACGGCGACCTGCTGGCGAGTTAAGGAGTTATCTGACATGTGTGCGTGTGTGCAAATATTCCATTTGAGATGTGTGAGGCCTGACCCTGCAGGAGACCATCACTCTTTTATTAAGTGAAAGTGATTAAAAGAGCAACTGTAGCTGCTTTATGATATCTCCTCACACACCAGATGTTCTCTACGCTCTCATTCACTGGCTGAGATCCAAACGGGTTATTGAACACCCCACGCAGGGCATTTCAAGTGGCAAAATCATCAAATGCTGTTTGTAAGGGTGTTCTTAAAGCTGCCTAAAATGACCGCTATATAAAACTGGATGTAAATTAAATAATAAAACTGTAAAAAAAAATGTTAATAAGAAATAATAAAACTTCTTAAAATATTTAATCACGGTAATGGTAAACAAACAACAGCATATAAAGTCCTATTCAGGAGGTACTTGTTTCTCAGGGTGACATCCATAAAAGAACAATTTGTAAGGCTCCTCTGTGATAAAACTCATGCATTTGGATGACTATCATGCAGGGGACAGATACAGAAGCATTCGCAGGTATTCGAATGAAAGCTCACACTTATGCTTTTAACATTTAAATAGACTTGAAATCAATAACCTGTGACGCAAACGTTCTGGTTCAATTTCTTTCTTCCTTTTTGAAGATTAATACTTTTAAGGATGCATTAAATTGATCAAAAGTGAACTTTCTATTTATCAACCAATCCTGAAAAAGAAAAAAAATAAGCAACTGTTTTTTTACATTTATAATGAAAATGTGTCTTGACCATATCAGCATATTAGAATGATTTATGAAGAAGGATCATGTGACACTGAACACTGGAGTAATGATGCTAAACATTCAGCTTTGCATCACAGGAATTAATTTAAAACAAAATAGTTATTTTAAACAGTAACAGTATTTCACAATATTACACTCTAAAAAATGCTGGGTTGTTTCAACCCAACATTGGGTCAAATATGGACTAACCCAACCATTGGGTTAAATTTTTACATCAAATTTTGAACCCAAAAGTTGGGTTAGTCCATATTTGACCCAAAGTTGGGTTGAAACAACCCAGCATTTTTTAGAGTGTACAGTTTTTACTGTATTTGGAGTACATAAGAGAGATTTTTGCATTAAAAAAAAATCATACTGCCCCAAACTCTCTATTAAAATGTGAAAAAACAACAACAACGCCTATGAATATATTAAAGAGTCCCTGCAATGACAAAACTTCAGAAACGGACTATAATTTTCTCCTGGGAAGAAATATTGACATTTCCATTTCAATTGCCAATAAAATGACAGATTAACACCAGTACATGTTGAAATGACCTCACATCTCTATGTAAAACAGTTTAATTAATTAAGGTTTCTAAGTTAAATTCTAAAAACAAGTTTAATCTGGAAATACCTTAAGTGCCACCACTTTAAAGGGGCTACCCGCTCACCAGAGGGCAAGGGGTTAACATTTCAGATTGGACTCCACCCTCATTCTCAGCCTGAAACACCTATTTAATTGTATTAGAGAGCCAAAGCCTCAGACATACAAAAGAATAAGAGCTCAGTGAAAATATCTCATAAATGTGTCACACTCGTCAAAGTTGAGAGCTGGGAAAGAGTGACAGGCAGGGGGATTACGTCTGTGATGTGGATGGGAAAATACATTTGGAATCTCAATATAAAGACGAGGGGCTGATTTTCTAAAGGACGGACGTGGTGAGATGTATGAATGATTTATGAATATGAAATGAAAACACCGGCCCTTCCTTCAGGCCCCTGAACAAGACTGAAAACAGAGCTGGGTGTGTGTGTGATATATACCTTCAAGTATCAGTATGCTTCCAAAATGATTCAGTGTGGAGGACAAGGCCATGTTTTTGTTCCTCGGGTTCTGTTTTGAAATGTTAGATGAACATATATGTATGTGGGGCTTCATCATAACCTGAGGACACAATGTCTCCAGTGCTCTTTTTCTCTCTATGTAAGCTCTAATGCCTTTCACCTTACAGTATATGAAAAGTGGTTTGGGCTAGGTCATGGAGAAGAGGGCAACTGAATTGATCAAATTATGCTCTTCAGAGGCTGCCTTTGAAATCCAAAATGAGACCATTTACTGGTTGTGGATGATGGGCAAAAACAAATTAAATGCAGGGAAAGATATACCATAAAAATGTGTCTATTCATTCAAGTTACTTATTCAGTTATGAGTAACTCATCAGTGCAGCACAATCGGATGTCCACAGCTTCCTAAACGAATGGGCACTGACTGGTATAATTACATAATATTAAACTACCTAGTGAAAATTATCTTTTTTTTTTGTTGTTAACAACTCTTTATTGAATTTTCTTCTGGGAATAGTAATATAAAACAAACAGCAACTGTGTAAATTTATAACCCACCCCAACCCTGGAGTATAAGACTTAATAATAATAATAATAATAACAATTATAATAATCATAAAAATAAAAATATGTATGAAAATTATCTTTTAATGTCAAGATTATCAGTTTACATAGCAGTATAAAGTCACAAATGAACTTCTAGAGCTATGCTCAGATTCATTTTAAATAAAGAGGCAATTAAAAGCAATATAAAAAGCATAACA